AAAAAAAATATGTATAGCACATTCCTCTGTAATTTAACATGGGTTGATCTGATCTGTTTTTCCGGGGAGAAGGGTGTGTTGTGGAAAATATACTATCTTCTCAAAACTTTTGTTCTGAGTGTTTAGAATATTGATAGGAATGGAGTCAATGATCATCCTTCAAACTTACTTTTATTTTAAGGGAAAAAAAGAAATGACGACATTGGTGACATTTCACAGCCGAGTGCATGCGCACCGCAAATTATTTTTTCTTCTTTTTTTTTGTAAATTATGTGCCCATTCCCTTATATTGTCCGCATGATGTAATATTTGCATATTCATCTCGATAATTCATTTATATTCTATTGCATTAATTTCCATGAGCATTCTTGGGGATGATGTATCTTTTCTAACAACAAACAACATTAACATATTTCAAAGATAACTTCAACACCTCTGGTGAGGAAAGTGTAACCAAGACCCGAAAAATTGACTTTTTATTGTGTAACTAGCAACATATTGTAAATTCTTCATCAATCTTAAAATGCCAAACTTTGACCCATTATAACACTAAGCAATCTTTAAATTAAAAATAAATCACCTCATTTACAAATCATGACAAACTTTGTCTCCATGGCTTACTGAAGAGAAACATTACATTCAATCAAAATCTTCGCTTTGTTTTTGAAGTTTCTATTTCTGGACAAATTGTTCGACTCGACCCTATTTTTGCGAGAATATAGCTATAATATTTCCATTTCTAACTTTTTTTCTCTGTGATAACTCTGTGAAAGTTATATAGCGGAGTTGATTTCTTGATAATTCTTCCGGAATGTAAATTAGGCAGGTCGATAGGTCAGGAGCTAAGGAGGCCTAATATGCATGCAAATCTCGTGCGCATCTGTCTCTGTGTCTGACGCTAAGGAGGCCAAATATGCATGTAAATCTCGTGCGGCTGCCTTTGTGTTCGACATCATTGAAATTGGCAGGGAAGTCCTCGTGTAATTTAAATCTATGAATACATTTTTAAAATCTAAATCTACATTTTTATTTCACAATGAAATGGAAATATGAAGAATCACTGTCTAGTTAGTATACTTAGTAGTATGCCAGGGACATCAACGATAGTGGGAAACAAGGGATAATTTATGCATAACGGGCTTCGACCGTTATGCAAATTATCCCATGTTTCCCACTATCGTTGATGCCCTTGCATACTATTCTAACTAGACAGTGATTCCTTAAATATACTGGTGTAATTACAAATACATGTATATACTGAAAACATGCCGACCGGTCACACCCGCCGTGAGCACTTTGACACGATTGGACAAAAAAAAATACGTTGACAATTGAGTGTGTAAAAAAAAGTCTAACGATAGTTATTGCAAAGCGTCAGTCAATATTCAACTGAATGGTAGACAGTCAGTAGGTGCTGACAAGGTCATTGTATCGACCGCAGAACTTATGAAATGATGACTTTAAACGAGACTCTTATATCCTTATTTCATCAACTTGTTTATCAATAGCTTGTCTCGTTTAAGAAATTGTTCTAGGTAGAGCATGCTCTTGCGAATCCATTCAACATAAGACATAAACTTTATGCAGCTAGGTGATAAGGGTTTATTAGGCCAGTTGTCGATATTAACGTCGAATTTAGAACGCTTGTCATAAAGGTTGTTGCTAGATTACCATAAACGTTAATAAGTAACAGATATGTCAGACTCTGTGGTATCTTTTATTTATAGGGATTCCGATATACCGGGTATATCGAGTTAAAATCTATAAAAGGAACTTGTTAATTGAAAATATATACGTCGTCGTTTTATCTTTTTTCCTCATGCATTTTGAATATTCTGCTTTTTATGATTACAAATTTAAAGTCTGCTAAGAACGCAGTTCGGGGGTACAGTGTATATTACATGAACTTATTTGAGACAATTGAATATGCAGAATTGCATGGAACTTAAAGTTATTTGAAAACATGATATACATGTACCGGTATTCTTAAGAAAGCTAATTTGTCCTTTTATAAATAAAATTTGGTAAAAGATAAAAACGAATATTTCTATTTTGATTACTTTTTTCAGCCAGGAATGAGTTTGTTGTCTTTTGTTCACACCGAGGGGTAGAATGGTCCCGTGGTTTGGTACATTTTGATGAACACTGTGAGAGATGCTACTGTAGCGGATTTGTCAAGCAGTGTTGCGAGTAAGTACCTCATCGAAGAGAAATTCTTCTGTAACAGAGGTAGAATTTAATTAAGATGACAATTTAATGAAAACTGGACGATATTAAACTTACGCTAAATTTCTATTAATTTCAGACGTAATGATTAATTTTCCTTTATTTTGTCTCAACTTTAATTCTCGAAAATGCTTTATTTCCTTTACAAACACTTCCGAAAATATACTGTGTACAACATATTGCCAGAATTACATTAGATATGTTAATTTCTTATACTTAAAAAATAATTTCATCTGTTTTTCTCTCTCGTATTTGTAGAGCTCGTGAGGTAGCGGGAGTTACAACGATCCCCGGATGTGTACAAGAGATGCGAGGATGTAAAATGGAGTTCTACAGATACATGTATGGCATTAAAATAAACTGTCGTACAGGCCAACCTTTTGAGGATATAATTGGTTATTGAAAAAACTCTTCTGTGGTATATTTTCATCTTTTTTAATTGTTTATACATTTTGTTATAGAATAAAGTTGATATTTGACTACTTAACTGCTTTACTTATGTTTGTATTAGTTTCAAAGTCAACCCAAAAACCTGGCTATTTGAACATTATGGGTGTTTTGGTGGGCTCATTATGACGTCACTGCATTGTGACGTATCATTACCTTGAGCAAGGTGCGATAACTTATCCAGGATTTCCAAGAAATAATCTTTCTGTGCTATATAAACTTTTTTTAAAGAATAAAATACTTTTAAATACATGTATTGGTGTTCCTCACCTAGATTAGTAATTTTAAAAATGTATCCTTGATTTCAGAGGTATGAAAATTAAATAATGAAACGATTTGATTTTCACTGCTATATAAAAATTTGTTGCTTTTTGGAAACATTTAATCCATTTTGTCACTCTACAACAATTAATGTATAAAACTGAAGAAAAACTTTTAAAATAAAAAATAATTAAAAGGACAGCTGAAATTTATTTGCACTCCTTTTGCAATCATTAATATGCACTTTTCTCTTTTTCTTGATGAATTGCGCAAACATGTTACATGAAAGATCTACCGTAAAGGTTAGAGGAGACGGATGGCGAGACATGCATCAAGGAGAACAGAGGATCAATAGCTGCTGTTTTAAAAGAGACCTTAACCACGAGGCCTCTCCTGAGGAGGTCGGAGAAATGAACTCACTAAGTCTCAGCTTGTTCGTGCTCTGTACAGTGTCATTATTTTTCTGGCACGCTGATGGCGCATGTAGGTTCTGGATGAAGAGGATTCAATTCGGCACAGGTAAGACGTATTCGTAGCGCTTCTCTCGATATTACAAGGTTGTAATAATAAAATAAATAAATAATAATAATTTTAGCTGTCATATGTTTATGGTTTCCTGGAAATCAACCTTAGCTTTTAAAGGACGCGATTCTCTAAAAATAATAATTATAACTAGAGCAAAGCTCGTTGCAAAGCAACGAGTGGGTCTTCCTTCCTAGCGATAAGCAAAAGATTAAATGTTTCTGTCTAGATTGTCAACTTTGCTAACATTCTCTTTTTCGATTTGTCTCAGAAACCCTTACTTGAATTCTTTAATTTGGTGTGAGCATGAGGTCTAAAGGGTACTCTCTCTAACAGCATTCTTGAAATCGTATCCACAACAGTTTAATTTCCAATATTATGACTTTTGATATCGGATACATGTATATCATGTTTGTTGCAATTATGTTTGTGAAACGTGTCATACTACAGAAACATAAGTGTTTTGCTACATTACCATCTTAACCAGAAGTCTCTGTCGAGACTGTAGCTCTACTGGTATGTACTTATCAAAAACCATTGCACTATTTTATGTATCTTTGTGTAGTCTACTTGTGTGCCAACTTATTTTGAAATCAAACTAGAACTGTAGAAGGAGTAGCGTTTTTAAGGAATTTCACAGAAAATTCTATTTTTATTTTTAGTAACCATGGTAACACCGTTCATCGAAATCAGAAACTTATGCACTATTCTATGTATCTTAGGGTAGTCTACTTGTGTGCCAAGTTATACTAAAATCAGACCAAAACTGTAGAAGGAGTAGTGTTTTAAAGGAATTTCACAGAAAATTCTATTTTTAGTAACCATGGCAACATTGTTCATCGAAATTAAAAACTGATGCACTATTCCATGTATCTTAGTGTAGTCTATTTGTGTGCCAAGTTATTTTGGAATCAGACCAAAACCGTAGAAGGCGTAGCATGTTTCAGGAATTTCACAGAAAATTCTTTTTTTAGTAACCATGGCAACATCGTTCATCGAAATTAAAAACCGAAGCACTATTCTATGTATCTGAGTGTAGTCTACTTGTGTGCCAAGTAATATTTAAATCAGACCAAAAATGTAGAAGGAGTAGCGTTTTTAAGGAATTTCACAGAAAGTTCAATTTTTAGTAACCATGGCAACACCGTTCATCGAAATCAAAAACCCATGCACTATTCTATGTATCTTAGTGTAGTCTACTTGTGTGCCAAGTTATACTGAAATCAAACTAAAATTGTAGGAGGAGTAGCGTTTTGAAAAATTGTTTACAGACGGACAGACAACGGAAGACGGACGCCGGACGCATTTATCGCATAAGCTCTTCAGGCCCCAAGACCATAAACTGAGAACAAAAAATTTCAAACCAATATAACTTTTGAAATAATTTTGATAATAAAACAAGATTTTCATCATAATTTTAAATTTAAATGTTAAATAAAACTGCAAAATTTTAAGCAAATACATTTAAAAAAGCACAAGAAATTGAAAATCAAATTTTTGACTTAAGTCTATTCTCAGTTTATGGTCTCTGACCAGTAGAGCTAAAAATGTCTTTAAAATCATTTAATATACAATATAACTAGGTAAATAAAATAAACAAATTATATAATAATTCAGAAAATCCAAATGTATTTACAATAATGATGAACAATTTTCATTAGTTGCAATCAGTAAGTAGAACAATACTTTTATAATAAACGCACAGAAATGTGTTGTGTATGTTTCAAATTTGCAGCTTTCCACTAGCAACTGATGGTACCTCAATAGGAGTGTAAAATTCTCTGAAAGGTATATTGTAAACATATTACATATGGCTGTGTATTCTTTTTTAGCGGCTTTGGCGGAATGCAGCAATCACTAAATCAAGTACAAAGCTAAAAGTCTTGTACATAAACATAAATAAGAATATCTACGCTAACTTATTCAAAAGTCAATTTCCACCAAATATTGTACAAGGTATATATAATACATTTACAGCATTAAAGAAACAAATCTCTTTGAAGGTATTGCCTTGCATAAGAACAATTTGAATCCCCTACACTAAGGATGCTCTGTGCCAAGTTTCACTTTGGTTCAGGAAAATGATATTGTCAAATTTTAGACAATGATGATAATGGATAAAATTATGTTTTTTAAAAAATTTACTGGTTCCTTTAGCTCAGATGGGCTAATAAGTATGCAACAGGCACAGTTTTGCAGTTGACATTGAAATGCGACTGGACATCTCTTGAATCTTGTTTTAGAAAACTACATGTACATGCCCTATGTACTGAATTCCTTGGAATCATACACATGTTTATGCCTTTAATTAGTTGTATGTGCCAAAATAACAATTTTTTTTACATTATACTTTAAAAATACACATACATGTATTACACGATCTTCTATTCCTGCTGAAGACAGAGGATCTATCTTAATCATTAGAATAAGTAAGTCTAAACTTTGAAAGGGAAGACCTTAAATAAGAGGTCAACATGCTACACAAACAAAATATTATTATATTTAAAAATAACATTTATTCCAATGTAAATACTGGTACATGTATTTCTGTTACAAAAACTATTTCACTTGAAAAACTGAGAGCAATTGATATGTTCATATTTGTGGATTTATGTTGTCAAATCAAAATTTAAAAATGATACACAGTGTGTTTAAAAATTGTCTTCACAAACCAAAACTTGACTTATTTTCACTATGCTGTTTATTCCATGTCACATCCAAACAGATGATCTTCTGGCAAATCATGGTCATGCTTGGTATCAAAATTCAGTCTTCAGATGAGTCACACCTATCCAAAAAAAAATTGAATTTTTTTAATCTATAATTCTTTTACTAATAAAAAGTGCAATTCATGAGATTATAAAATAGATTATCAAATTGAGAGATAAGATATTGTCACATTTTCTGTTTATAATTTGTAAATTTTAATGTACTCTTTCATCAATTAAAAGAAGTTTACACCAATTAAGGCAGTCATTTATGCTATTCCCTAATAAGACAACATACAAGTGCAAAGTAATCATGCACTAGTGGGTTTAGGATAATGTGCTAGAGTATTTATGACAACATACTAGCACGAGGTGACAATGTGCTAGCATGTACGTCAGTGATAATATGCCAGCACACTGAATCCAACATGCAGTGAAGCTAACACTCAACAGATTGTTTAAAGTTGTGTTTGCATGATATTTTGTTTTGTGTTAACACAGCAGCGTGTTGTTTAAAGCTGCATTGGAGTGGCAGTCTGTTGAAATTAACATGCTAACACACTGCAACTTCACATCATTGGAACACCATAATTTTAAAACTGACAAACCAATATCTTATGATTACTAACTAGGTAATTGCAACTGTAAATGCTGATTTCATGGTGACAATAATACCGGTAATTCACTGTATATATGAGAACTGATCAATTATAATAAGGCGTGTCCAGATAGGGCCACTTGCTAAAGCTCAATAGCACTTTCATAAAAGCGTTCCATCTTACCGACACAAAAGACGCCATTAGGCTATCACACAGCTCGCCATCACAACACTGAAAAACACTTTCGCACTAACACAAGTTCGCACCACACGCTGTCACACTAACACACAACACACTGTCACGCTAATACAATTTCACACAACAAAATATCAGGCTAACACAAGTTCACACAACACACTATCATGCTAACACGAATTCACAAACACACTGTCTCGCTAACACAAGTTCACACAACACGCTGTCTCGCTAACACAAGTTTTACACAACACGCAGTCTCGCTAATACAAGTTCATACAACATACTGTCTAGCTACATGTAACACAAGTACATGCAACACACTGTCACGCTTAGATGAATTCAAACAACACACTGTCACGCTAACATGAGTTTACACAACACGCAGTCTCACTAACACGCGTTTACACAATACACTGTCACGCTAACACGAGTTTACTAAATACACTGTCACGCTAACACAAAGTCACAAAACAGGCTGTCTCACTATACACTAACACAAGTTCGCACCAAATGTTGTTGCCATAACACACTGTTATCCTAATACCATTTCACACAACACACTGTCATCCTAATACCATTTCACACAACACACTGTCATTCTAATACCATTTCACACAACACACTGTCAGGCTAACACGAGTTCACACAACACACTGTCACGCTAACATGAATTCTCAAAACAGGCTGTCTCACTATTCACTAACACAAGTTCGCACCAAACGCTGTTGCGATAACACACTGTTATCCTAATACCATTTCACACAACACACTGTCATCCTAATACCATTTCACACAACACACTGTCAGACTAACACGAGTTCACACAACACACTGTCATGCTAACACAAATTCAAAAAACATGCAATATCGATAACACGAGTTCACATAACACGCAGTCTGGCTAACATGAGTTCACACAATATGCAATCTTGCTAACACTAGTTCACACAACACACTATCTCTCTAACACCAGTTCACACGACAAATTTTCAGGATAACAAGTTCACACAACACACTGTCACGCTAACACGAATTCACACAACATGCTGTCTCGTTAATAAGAATACGCACAACACGCTGTCTCGCTAACATGAGTTTACACAACACTCAGTCTCGCTAACACGAGTTTACACAACACGCAGTCTCACTAACACCAGTTTACACAACACGAAGTCTCGCTAATACGAGTTCAATCAACACTCTGTCTAGCTAACACGAGTTTACACAACACACTGTCACACTTACACTTTTTACACGATTTTACACAACACGCTGTCCCGCTAACACGAGTTTACGCAATAAATTGTCAAGCTAACAAGAATTCACACAACCCACTGTCAAGCTAACACAATTAAGTTCACAAAACACACTGCCTTGCTAACACAAATTCATACAACACACTGTCTCGCTAACACAAGTTCACACAACACACTCACATTGCTGAGTTTAAAGTAAAGGTCTACCCTAATTTGAAGAGGTTTAAAACTAACATATCTCTATATTAGTAAAAAGCTTCAAATTTAAGACAAAAACATTTATGCAGTAATGTTCCTTAACTTGCATCTGGCATATAAATTGAATGAGACCTTAAAAACCTCACAGTACATGTTTACTTAGCTAATTAAAGGTCTAAATTGATGCTATTCAACAATATATATCAACATCTCTAAGTATGTGAATGAGTGAAATTCTCAAATAAATATTATAAATCAAAGTATCAATAAGAAGCTGAACCTTACGTCGCAGGTTCCAATTCCATTGCTAAATGCTTTAGACAGGTTACTCCTATGAGACTGCATAAACCAAGATTCTGTGTCACGGTAGGTGTTAGCACAAAATGGATCTCATACTTCTTAAAGGCAATAAGTGCTGAGTACAAGTCTATATTTGCAGCTAATACCATCCCAAGTGGTGGCACCATGAAATGACTGAAAAATGTATGATTAAGGCAAATAAACAAACATTAAACCATTACAGCAGTCTTATAAAACAAAAAAAAGCAAACTTTCTATTATCACAATTTTTTAAAACAAATTTCTTTTGCAATTTAACTGAGCAATATTTGTCCTTTTTTGTCAGTAAAGTATGATATTAAATAATTAGGACTTTTTGAGAACATCTATTTACAGCGAGTCCAGACAGCAGCACAAATCCCTGCCCATAATGCGAGCTCTTATGATAACACCTTGGCAAAAGAATATTGTGACTTGCACATTGCTCCACACAATTTTTCCGCAGTATACTTTGGACACACAGTGCTTAGCTTCTTTAACATGTTTAAGCTACATTCAAAATTCATTTCTATTTAATTTGAATTAGCTATCCTTACTCATGTTCACATGGATCTAATGGGAAGTAATTTAACGAGCAGTGATTTCATTCGAATTAAACATTTGAATAAACTCTCAGTGTGAACATTGAGCATGGATGCACCAAATGTCAAATGCGGCTTGACAAGCACAATCTAAATTAAAACTAAATAAGTATCTGCCCTCACCCTTACAGTCACACTGTCAATATATAATTAAATGGAACAGTTCTAGTATACCGGTCCCCATAAATATGGCGCTAAAATAGGTGCCGCCGAAGGCGGTATACAATATATAGACGATCGCATGAGCGATCGACAAAATTGAAAAAGAAGCCACAAATTGCAAATTTGACCCCAAATTCGTGTTCCTTGTGAAAAATTGGGTTTACAAAACTGGTTATTAAACACAGTTTTTTAAATGAGAATTAAAAGATTTTGTAAAATAACGTACATGTTTAGGAAGTAAATCTCCATCTTGCGTTGTTTAGGAATGTAGTCACATGATCAATTTTTGATGTAATCTCATAAATATTCATGAGATGCGTCACTTGTGTTTTGACGTAATGAAGAAATGCCTAATAGGACTCAAAGTGCAATGCTATTAAAATTGCGTGATTTTTGTGAGAAATACAGGGATTTAACAAATGTTAGCTAATTACTAGTCATCGATGGATTGAATTGTGCATCATTATCGATTTGAAAAGATAAAATTTATGAATAAGGGGCCTATTTGGACATGATTAGGAGGTCAGGATACCGAGCTGCAGTTAACAGTAAGTCGCTTTTACAATAACTTGCCTAAACTCAGCGCTAAAAATCGTCATGTTTCAAAAATTGAGTTGATTTACCCGAATTTTCATTTCTTAATCTTTCCTTTGTAAAGCAAAAATTTCATGAACTAAGCCAAAGTGTAAGATATCGGCACAATTCGACAGGCTGATACATGCAAGTTTTTTATCACAAAAGGCACATGCGCACACATAGTGGCTTTTGTAAGCAAAAATTACATAAATAAGCCCTAAGTCAGAATTAAAGAATACAGAGTGGATTTATTAAAAAAGACAATTTTAAAAAATAAACAACCTAACCCTAATCACTCCATCGGATGCGTTTTGTTGAAGCGAGTGGGAAATTGCGGTTTGTTTACATTCTGCATAGCAACGGCAAGGGAAATAACTGCTCATGCGCAATCGCGTGATTCTGGGGACCGGCATACTAGAAACTTCCCAATTAGTTGAATATATTCTGTAACATTAAGTGCAGTTTGAATTATAGAGTATGATCACTATCATAGATAGTAGGACTGTTGAAATTACATCCTCAAATTTAAAAAAAAATAAAATATAAAGCTGTGGGGATTTACAAGGCAAACAGAGAGCGTCTGAACTGTAAAACAGATAATATATCGGTGTGTCTGTGTATTTCTAATAACATCAATGTACGTCACTGTCATGTAATCAGTAGTGTAAATTTTAAGAAATAATAATATTCTAACCTTCATTCCAATGGTCCAAGCCAATCATACATTAAAATGTCGCCGTCAGTTCTTTCATCACTCGATTCAATTATCCACTGGGGAATCCGGAGCAGAGTCAAGCGTGTTCATCCTTGTTAATGTGACAGTCAGAATTTCCTCGTAAACAATTCACACAAGATTCTTAGAATATATGAATCGGGATAATTCTGCTTAGAATAATGTTCCAGAGAAGTGACAAAGTACTTCGTAGCTCCAGATTAAATGAGTGTGCATGTCTACAAACGGATTCTTTGTGAGAAAATGTTCAACTTCACAAATCATTCTATTTTCAGTTTGTAAACCATGACAAACATGTGTCCGACACGTCGACTCGAAGGGGCACACTAAAAACGAGATATACTAGAGACCTGATATTTACCTGACGTTTTAATTTTTAATTAAATGGTAATATTGAGTATTTTAAATTACTTATGTACAGACTTTATGACTTCGAGGCATATGCTATACAAAAATTCAATTGTTTGGAACATTTACAGACAAATTTGAATCAGGTCAAATAAGTGTTTAGTACATCGCGTCTTTAGTACCTTCCTATTTCCCACAATGCCGCGCGTTGTTTACAAACAAGCGCGAAAAAATCCTCTAAACTAGGTACTAATTATTGTTGTGTACATTATCACATTTTAAAATTATTTGAATAAAAAGAAAACAAAGAAACACCGAATCAAAACTATATCTTTTAGATGCATCAACTAAAAATGTGCACATGTATGCAGTAAAGGCTTGGCTGGCTATAGTAGACAACTTGTTCCTGAAAGGTTTCTCACATACATGTACTTGTTTTATAAAAAAAACAATTAAATATAGCTGGAAGTTTATTTCTTTTTATGTCAAATGACAAGATTTTATAAGTTCGAAATTATTTCAGTCAAACTTTTTCATAATATACCAATATTTTAAGCTATCAGAAAAAACGTGTATGAGCTATTAACCCCTAATTATAGGGGCCAGCCCCTTTTCATTAATCTAATATGAAAGCTCTCGTAATTACACACAACTTTTGTTCTATATTTCTTACCAAATTATTCTCGGTTCAAAAGTTATTACACAAAAAGTAGCAAAAATTCAAGAAAAAAAATTACTAAAATTTGACGTTTTATAGCTTCCAAACTTTAGGAAATCAGCTTATAATTTTATCGTTCTGCACATCTACAATGTATTGGCTACAAGTTCTCCAACTTTCGTGTAAATATCTTACGTCGTTCTTGAGATTTTTAGTGGAAACGAGACATCAAAATTATCAATTAAAGGGCAATAACTCACAAATAAAGGCATGCATCAAAAAATTGAAAACAGGTGTAAATAGGTTTAATTACAAGGTATCTAACCTGAAAGTTTCATAAAAATCAGTCCAAAGGTCTTTGAGAAATAGCCTGTCAAAAATCGAGCGGGAAAAAAAAAATAAAATAATAATAAGAAACAGTAGAATAACAGTAGGGTCTTCCGAAGGAAGCGGAAGACCCTAATAATATATATTTAAGGCTGAAAAGCAACAAATGAAAAAAAAAACATCACTCAAAACAATGTACTACCAAAGCACTTTTATATTCAGCGCAAAATATGATTCATTTAGAGATAAGAATGAAAAAGGCTAATGAAAATTAAAATCCATCCATAAGGCATGAGAGCAGATGCAGAAATTTTTCTTTTCTTTCTTTCTTTTTTTTTTTTTTTTTTTTTTTTTTGTTTTTTTTCATTTTATACCTGAAGCACATGAGTAAGCAATATTGAGTACCCATGATAAACATTGTTAATTTTTAACAATAACTTACGACCAAGAAAGCCGCATGGATTAAAATAAACCTTGTTTACCTTTTTTTTTTTGGATTTTTTTAACTTGGCAATCAGTTTTTCTTTCTTTTTTTTTTTAACGAAACGCTTACTACTGTAGAGCAGAAAGGGAAGTTTTACTGTTCGTATCGTGGAGAAAAATGGTCAAATGGAGTGATGTTGTTCCCTGAAGTATGCGAAGGGTGTGAATGTAGAGGCAACATGATGATATGCTGCGAGTGAGTACAATAGCAGGATCTTTGGTAACAATGGCCAAATATTTTGTAACCATGATCATTAAAACTATTCGTAAAAAGTTGTTAATCTATTTGTATGATGATGTATTTGATTAATAATGTCAGGACAAATTTCCATAATTTAACAGAAGGATCCCAACAAATAATCTTCCTTAAAATTACATGTAATTCTTCAATTAAATAAAATATAATAATTTCTTATCTTCAATTTTCCAGTGTAATCGCCTTTAAAATAGATATCGTACTTCTACTTATAAAAATTATTTAATGGTTTGTAAACGAAAAATCAAACACACATATTCTTAATCTGTACCGAATTTTGATCAGTATTTTCCTTTTAATCTAACGATTTTATTATATATATATATATGTATTATTTTTGTAGTGTGATTTCTGGTTATTTCTTATATTGCGACATTGCATCGTATCGAATTGATTGATTGATTGTATACTGTTTAACTCCTCTCGAGAATTTTTCATTCATATGGAGACGCCACCACTTGCCGGTGGAGAGCTGCAAATTTTGTCCTATACTAGGCACTTACGGCCATTAAGCAACAAGAGATCTTTTTCGTGCCAGCAAATACTGCGACACGTGACCTTGGTTTTTACGGTCTCATTCGAAGGACCGGTCTCCACGTCCCACAGAGGGATTCGAACCCGCGACGTAAGGATCAACTCCTTACTTCCCGACTCTAGAGCAGACGCTCTAACCACTGCTCCACGCAGGCGACGTACGCGTATCGAATTGAAAGGACGACGAAATAAGATGGAAGGGGGGGGGGTTAAATTATACAGACTACCTTATTTTGAAGAACGTAAATTTCAAGTGATCTTATCGGATGATTTCTAATTGTTGTTTTTTGTTCTTTTTTATTCCAACTAAACTTGTTATTTATTCCTTGGTATCATAATGGCAAATATCTAAAACATCGGTAGGAAGTCTATATTAAGATATCTTACCGTACTCTCAGAAAGTGGTGGAAATTTGGCTCTAGTTTATAGATCCCTTTGGGGGGGGGGCATATTTAATCATAGCATCTTATTTCAGTTAAAGAAATCGCTTTTCTTTTTGTGCAAACTACATGCATTAATTGGACTACATCTTCCTGTAGCTATCATCCATCTCACTTTCATGTATCAGAGTTTCATTAGAATTTCCAAAGAATGATACTAAAAAGATCTTACAGTGGCTATATGACTTTCTTAAGTCAATCAATCAATCCTGATTTAATTCCTTTATACTTTGTCATAAAGATGGTGTTATTTTTTAATCCCTAGCATTGGTACTGCTGCAAATGCCGGGGAATACGAGGGCTGTACCAAGGTGAGCCGAAAATGTGAAGTCCGCTACTACAAGATGGTGAACGGACAGAAGTTGGACTGCTTCTCTGATCTACCATTTGACGAGAACTTCTGGCTTAAATAAATATGATGAAGCCTTTTTGTTGTATTCTAAATATTTTTGCAATTTGAAGTAGATACAATGAAAATTACAAAGCATTTGTTCTTTGATTGTAAGAATTTACCTAAAGCTATTCTACTGATTTAACACTAACATTAAACATAACGTCCTTTAAATCATAGTTTTTGATGTCTGTTTTGAAAAACATTTTATTCTATTAAAACTAATGTACACTACTGAAAAAATCGAGCTGATCAATGATTTTAAAAAAGTTTATTTCTGAAAAATAAATTTTGTCACCTAGACATTCATAACAAAACCGATATGTATTGCTTACATAGCAAACAACAGTTACTGTACATTCATTCTTCATAAAAAAGACATTACGGCTAGATTGCGAAACAATGAAAAAAAATGACTAATGGCCATTCTGGAGTGAATGGCATGATCAAATGTTCATACTCCATACAAGTACACCAATAAATGGATCAAGACTTCAGTATGTACATGGATTTATCATATTAAAGCTATTTTTGAAGAACTATTGCAAGTGTCACAACAGTATTCAATTTTGCTATATATTCTTACCAAAGTTTTTTTAATACAGAATATGCTTTAAAAAGTCTTTCTAAATTAATTTCATATTTTGCTGTTAGTACAATACATATTTTAATAATTGATTTAGTCAAATTAATAATAATGAAAACGTTTGTTGCTTCATCAAGGAGAGAGTAATCAACTCTGTCTCTGCTTTTTCTCTCGCCCTTATTTAGTGGCCTCCCTTGTACTACCGTGTGTAATACAGTCATCCCAGTCAGGCCAAAATTCTGCCTTCATTCTCTCACAGTAGCCACAAAGATTTTCAAACTCTGAAATTTGAAAATAATAAAAAAAGATAATGGCAAGAAAATTAGAAGGGGGTGGAATAATTGTAAAATGCAGATGGAGATGGAGAAAATGATCTTTGACCTTTGACTTTTTGGCTTTTAAAATCTTTTTTAAAAACTTATTTTTATTAAAGAAATTCATGTTTTGAAGTTTCAATGTGAAAAATTTTGGAACTATAATACGAAAATATCATCTGACCTTAAAATCAAAATGATGGAATTCCCAAAGTCTTTAGGAGTTGTGATTTGAAATTTAATAGCAAAAGTATCATAGCAAATATTTTCAAGACTTTTTTTAAAATATCGAAATTTGAAAGTGAACACAGAGACAATGTATGAAAAAAAAAATGACATATGACCTTTTGACCTCAAAATCAATTTCATTGTAAATGTGTTTTTAAGGTGAAATATCCCTCTGCTCAAAATTTCGCCATTTTTTTTAAAATTCCAATCACTGATTTTTATCAACAAAAACAGCATTAGATTCATATGAAAATTAGTTTGAAGTAAGAAGCGCTTCTTACTTTTTTTCTCAGAAATGAATATTATGTCAAAGCAGCTTGAGGCTTTCAGGGAATATCTTTATTACATATTGCCATTGTGCATCTCCTATTTAACTTTTTGATCTGACAAATATTTTGGGTTAGTTTAGTTTAAAATATATTTATTCATAGAAATGGATTGAACAGCATATTTTTGGTTTCCCACAGCAAAACATGGACACTGTCATTATATTCATATGGGAGGCCGGGGATACATTTAGTGAGCTCATAGCTTACAGTGCCTCTAGTTAATCCAGCATTCACATAGGAGAAATTACGCCATACGTACACAATTTATTTTTTCAAATTGTTATCTTTCCGTTTACTGTCAAAACCTCCGTGTAATTTCCATCCTATGACTCGTAATGCATCTTGGCTCTTCTGATACCTCTATTTCCCGCAGCCACCACTTCCTGCCCTCTCTGCGTTAAGATCATCCAGTGTTTCAGAACCAGCATCAATGTATTATCTTCCCATCAATGTACAGCTTGCCTTTAACTAGGCCCTACGTTGATCTTCCTTGGCCTTCTTGAAGAGGTCGAGGCCACTAGATTTTCTGATGTCAGCATAAATTTGCATGTAAATTAGCTATCTGTTTACCTTACCTACTGCTGAATAAGCCGCAATGCATTATGGGCTACTAAAAGTACCCAGCTCTGTTTAAAATAAAGGGCAACTTAACTGTCCTTTGGAAATTTATTTTCAATTTTTTTTTAGATTTACGAAAGAAATATTTAAAATGATGTATAATCTTTTATTTCTATGCTCACATCTACAAAATTTGCTTTATGAAGCCTTATATCAACTTATTATCATGATAATACATCGGTGTAACCCATTGTTCAAAGAAACGTAGGTTCTATCGTGTCGATATGAAACATGGAGGTTTTTTTCACGAGATATACGTGTACATAGTTTTAGCAGGAAGTATATAGATCTTTGGTTTTAGACAGCAGGATAAGGTGTGCAATTATTATTATTTAAGCCCTCAATAATATCAGAAATTTTTTTTATGTACATGCAAACGTCAAAGCGTTTGTACGGTATTCGAAGCAAGTATAAATCATCTAAAACAACTCCAATATTAAATGTGAGCATGGAGCAATGTCTTTAGAATATAATCTTTTAATTTCAGTCTTATAGAGAGATAAAGAAGATCTACAGTTTTTCCGATAACGAGTTAAATGTTGAGCAGTAAACCGACGAAAACCACGTGTCGCCATTGAATCGTAAACACGTAGTAGACGGTCATGCTTTGGGACTCTTTCACTTGATTGGAGAATGGGTGTGACAAAGACATCGTCACCTATTGAAAATTGCCTTCCATATAAGGTAATGGTCTCGACCTGTTGAAAATGGGGTACACGCCCTTTCTCTGTTCTTGTATTTCTTTTGGGAATTGTTCACCAATCGAGAGGTTTGTGTCTTTTACGTTTGTAGGCATTTTTCTGGATGAGTTCCCGCTGGGAAAATCTAGTAAATTTTGCTACAATATGGCGCGATTTTTCCTTGCTTATTATGCCGATTCTGTGTAACCTTTCAATTTGAATGTCATCCAGTAGTTCTTAATTGGTAGAGCATATTGTCTTTATAGTGACATCACAATATTCTTGCTCCCCTGACCTGCTGTGCCGTTTTCATATCAGACTGACTCTAGCATTAATCTGTAAGAACTCCTTATGTTTTTCTTCATGGAATTTTCCAACGCTGTTCAATTCAAAAAGTTCATTGGGTGCTTTGGAGGTGTTTTCATCGAAAGTGTGGAGTGATTGTGAAATAAATTTTTGGCTTTTCTCTACCTCTAGTACACGAGTGTTCAAGTTTTCTATGTCATTTTTTAAGCTTGACAAAATCTCAACGACTCTAACTTTTCGAGTTTTTGGCTCATAATATCCCAGTTAAAAATTCCTTGTACCCACTGTGGGGTAGCCTGGAGCGAATTGTTCGATTGGAAATTCTGACACTGTGACTGAATTGGTGGTGTACTTTGCATTTCCTTCTGCGTAGGTATTGTTAACGTTTGCATGGACTAAATAATTGATGATAGGAAACATAACCTAACTTTGTGCTGGATGTGTTGCATTTGCTGATACTATATATGCATTACTGGGTAGTATTTGTTGGTTAGCCGCCATCTTACCCTGCGCATATTTTCGCTTTTGTATCTTTTTCTTCGGTGATTTGGAGGCTGAAGGCGCGCCAAAATTCATACGAACAAGAAATACTAACACAGTCAAAAACATACCAAACTAAAACAATTGATGCCTCTAGGAGTGGAATCAAATTAAAATGCATAAATTCTCTGGACGAAAAAAACCCATGTCCATCTCTGTATGTGTCCACTGTCGGATTTAAGAGGGGGGGGGGCGTGGGAGGCGCAAGCCCTCCCCCCTAAAATTTTTCAAAGTATGATATGAATAATATTAATTATAAATAATGCCGTATTTTGGTATGTAACTAATGATACTACTATTATACTGCACCCCCTGGGCACCCACCATTCAAAGTATGATAATTATGATAAGTATTAATAATGCCTTACTTTGGTACTTAATTAACCAATACCACTATTATTGTGCCTGGTTTTACTCTTAAAATACATGAAAATCCAGGAGCTTCCGAGGGCTTCGTCCCCCCCCCCTCCCCCTTGGGCTCCCACTGGACCATCCGGCTACCCCAGACCACTTGCCTGAACGTAGTTACCCCCCCCCCTTAAACACAAATCCTGTATCCGCCAATGGTGTCTACTGATAATGTGCTAAAGGGAAGATTTACATCCGCGACAGGACTTTGTTCAGTGTGTTAATTCAACCCAAATTTTTCTGTTGAGACATTGAACTCTTGCAGTTTGTTTATGTTACTCAGCTATTTACGGCAAGCAAAATTCACAAAAATGAGCTAAACATTCATGTGGTTTCGCATTTGATAAACTATATTCATCTACTGTAAACTATAGTTTACGGACCGGAAAATGGAAACAACGTAATTGTACAGTTCACATTTCCATGAATTCTAAAGTTAACGCCTTAATCTACATTTTCAAAATACATGTAGTAGACTGAAAAGTATGGAACGCCAAATTCACAAAATAGAGCTAAAAGTAAAATAAGAGGTGAAAAATGGCATTATGTTTTAAAGAATCTTTAGAGTATCATTAAAATCAAGTGATGTAGGAGGAGTTGCGGATAAAAGATGGATACCCTTCAATATTTTTGAAAGAATGGCATTGTCCATATTTTGCTTAAGGTAACCCGAAATATATGTCGGATCAAAAAGTAAAATAGGAGGTGTACAATGGCTCTATATGCAGGGACGTAGCAACAGGTGGGCCAGGGGGGGGGGGCACTTTTTTTGCCAACAATACTTTTAGTATTGAAAATGTTCATTGAAAGGCTGGTTGGCGCCCCCCACTTTATAGCAAAGTAATATGAAGGATATACGAGGGGCTATCAAAAAGTTCGTGGACTAGCGCCATAATATTAAAACCGCTTTAGGTATATCAATGAATTTTAGAATATTTAGGTATCATCATCTTTTCTATCTATGGAATAAACCACAAATTATAAATTTTATTTTAAAATAAATTAGTAAAGTTTTTGTAAGCAATGGTATGTTCAGGCGGCGCAACCTCGAAAACGACGTTTTTCTCGACATAAGTGTAACTAAGATAAACTATTTTGATATGGACATTTGACATCCAAAAATCCCGTTAATTCAGGTATGTGTTGGGACACTATTGTTCCATAAAATATGAAATTTTTACCTCATTCTGGATGTGTTGGGACACTATTGTTCCATAAAATATGAAATTTTTACCTCATTCTGGAAGTTCTATGAAATTTTATTGTAAATTTTACATGGAGTATCCAAACAAATATTGCCTTGAAAATGACGTCAAAAGGGGGGAGGGGTTTCATTTCCCAACATTCTATGAGGTTTTGCCCCTTGAAAAACTGGTATACACTTAGGAAATGTTTTAACTTGCTACGGAGAATAAAATTTGCACCCAAATTTCTTGTTTTTTATTGCCAAAATAGATTCAGAGAGAAAAGGGATGCAAAGTCGATTAATGTCGATTTATAGTCAAGGTTTGAAAAATATATCACGTCAAATAATGACGTTGATCATGTGTTATATAGCTATATTGAACTCCAAAAAACAATAATGCTGGCAAAATCAAGCGAGGATGTTTCCTAGTGTATATTTGCAATAGTATATGCACTGAAAGCTGCTGTTCATGACATTGTTTAGTCATAAAAACAAGACGGGTTGAAGTCATTACTCACCTCTAGGGAATCTCATCAAAATAAGCATACGAGGTAGAAAAAGCGGACATTGAAAAATAATGACGTTGTCGGACGTCATGAAACTAAGCGGCGACGGCGCCGGGTGATCATATAATGTGGCCTTTATTTTATATTAACTTGGGGAATTATGAACGTATCAAGCTAAAATTTTCAACATTTCTTTATTTTTTGTTTTTTTATGTTCCTTATAAATTGTGTCAAAAACCAATATTTATATACAGTGAAAAGCATCATTTAAATCTTTATATTTAATTTATTTAATATTAAAAAAATATTTCTGTAAAAATCGAAAGGAACACTAATGAGTAAGATAATTGATATCTTCATAATTCATATACCAGTACAAATAGCTACAATTTTTGGAAAAGATAATACTTGTCTTAACCATTTGAGCAGGGAGAGGCTTACCAAAGATAGGGCCTTTCAAGTGAAGGAGAGTAAGAAAAGTGGTTTGAGGTATTCCAAGACGTGAAGAATCCTGTCTTTTGTGTGGAATTCAAGGTATTAAAGATAATCTAACAGCTATCAGTATGATCCAAATACATATTAGTATTCACACTTTCAAAACTTAATGCTAGTAGATCTAGTACTAAGAAAAAATACGACATAATTCAATTTGAGGATATTTCAACATGAACAGTTTTAAATATTGTCATCAATAATTTTAATTGTAGATATTGAGCAACTATTCCCACAAGAAGAAGCATTTGCCTCCAGGGTACCATGGACGTGTGGCAATATAAATCCAAAGGACAACTGAGGCCTAGTTAAAAGCCACTTTCCTGCACATTCAGTCATAGACTATATTTTTTGTTAACAATAGGACTCAAACTGATTTACATACTAAGGAAAAACTCTGCTAGGAAAATTAATCTTAGGTGTCATATCAATTAAATGCTCATATTACTTAATTGTAATGTTTTTAATGTACTGAATAGGTTAATTTGAATAAATTCACAATTGTTTGAAAATTTTGTTTGTTTATTTTTTTCCTCCCTCCCTCGTAGGTTTTGAACTTTAGATGTGACGTTAAACGTAGAATTAACTTTAAACAGCCTAATTTTATAGCCTCAGTCCACGAACTTTTTGATAACCCCTCGTAAAGGAGAAAATATTCAGTGGATGTAAATATACAGTTTTCATACTTTTGACTAGTATTTACTGATAAAGACTAAGATACTAGAAAGATGCTCAAGGCTTGTAATACAAAGATGCTCAAAATTTCAAATTTTGCAAATACCTTTTGTTTCTTGTAACAATTTTAACGTGAAGTACAATAGTCTCTCATGCACAATTATATACATAATTTTAATGCACAGCAAATTTGATAAAAATGATTATTTTCAGCTAACCAAGAGCAGAATGTCTAAAGGCTTACACAGAAATACAAATGATTATTACCTTAGCTAGTGCACTGTAACTGTTGCTCTGTTTTATTGGGGACTTTTCAAACCTCTGATTCTGGGATGGTACTTTCACTTTCATTGAAGATGGTGGAAGAGCTACCACTGGGTTGTCTGTCCTGACAGGGAGATGTCTGTTGGTCAGTTCTATCTTCAACAGGCCACAAAAACTGTCTGAGATAGCATACCTGATCAAAATACAAAGGTCCAAATGAGATAGCATACCTGTCAGATCAAAGAATAAAGGTCCAAATGACATAGCAACAGATGTCAAAAATAAATAGGAAGCTGAAGGAGGATCAATAGGAACCAACTAAAGACTAAACACATCAAAAGCAACAAATTCTGATCCTTTATACTTAAGTTTCACATACTGAAATTTTAGATAGTTCTTCATGCGTAAAAAAAACAACTCACGAATATCTTTGAATAATCCCCAGTGAGCAGTATTTACATTCCAGTTCTTCATGGTAATCACATCTAAAATGTAAAAACAGCGCTACAACAATGGAAACAAGCTTCATCTTTCAACATGTACCCAGTAATTTGAGTCTGTAAATCTTCACTTTTTTACACAATGACAAATGACCAAAAATGTTCAGATGTAAATTGCTGGTAACAGATTTTTCATTTGGGGCTAGTAATTTTACTGCTGTCATTAGCCCAATTTTTTTTAACTTAGCATTCCTGTTAATAATACCTTGTTTTTGGCTCATAATCCCAAGAATTTGAAGTGAGCAATTCTATAACTCTTGTCTTTGATACAGAATGACCTAAGTGTTGATAAAGGTCTGTGACCATGCCCTCCAATTCGTAAACTTTCTTCAGTCGGTTCGGGATTCCTAGACAGGCTCTCCCATGAATCCATTCCAAACAGTAGGCCGTTTCTTTGATGTCATTACCCTATAAAGCAAAGCAACATTCATCATTACTTTATGACAACACATACTACAAGCTAAAGACAAACATGAATCACAGAAGTAAATTCAGTGTTTATATCTTTTATTAATCTTTTTCATATCTATGATTAAGATGTACCAACCAGACAATAAAATGGAGGGTATTCGGGTTTCTCTCCATTAGGATTTACAAAATTCTCTAATTGGATCCATAATCCTCTGTAATTGGAATCGGCATTCTCAAAATTTTCCATCGGAATTTTATGGTAATCCTCACCTTTTTAAATAAATTAAAATGTACAATCCACAAAAATAAACTATAATTCATAACTGATTAAATAAGGTAAAAAATTTTTCTGGCAAAAGATTAGGAATAAATTGCATTACAATATTCTTACTTTTTTCTTTACAAACTCCTTTATATCCCAGTGGAATTCTTCCTGTAAAAATAGACATAGGTAGTCAAAGATCATCTCCACAAATGTTATATCTAAGAGAGGCAAAATCTAAAACCATATTTATAAAGTTACAGTAAATTACATCCCTAGATACAACTGCTCCAAAAACTGGGACATTAAGGCCAAGGGTATAGACTAAGCATTTTGGAGGTAAGTTAAAAATGCACTCAGAAAAAGTATTGAGAGACAAAGTTTTGATATCTTTCTCAAACTAATGCAGTTAGCCCTTTCATTACCGCTGTCAATCAAACTGCCAAACAAAATTGCCAAAGACTTTTTAATGTTACTCATTGTACACAATCAAGTTAAAACCATTTAAATTTAAAACGATCATGTTTATAAATTCAAAGAGTAAAATGCATTCTATCATCTCATTTAACTGCACACTTTCGTTTTCATATACCGTATAGCGAGTTTTCTTGGCGGGTGTAAAATTTGGCGGTTTGCCTGCTTAAAGGTATGCGAAAATTTTTGGCGTAATTTATTTTAGCAGATGCAGGGTTTCAGCTTTTTGCAGATGGACACTAAAAAGAGAACTAACTATTTCAGCGATTAAAATTTTAGCAGACTATCATCAATACGCCAAAATTAGCACCCCACTAAAATAACCTAAAATAAAATAATATGGTATACACATGTTCTTTACCTGGTTCTATAAATCTGTGGAGTTTTTTACTTATGCCTCGCTTGATGCTGTATTCAATTACGCCGATTTCTGCTGGCAAATAATGGCCATCATCAGTCATACACAGTGTTTGGAAGTTGATTAAATAAAACACCTCATTTGCAACCTCTGAAAAGAAATTGTGTTTAATTTGTTGTAATGAAAAGTATAAGATATAAATGTAATTAAATCAAACATCTAAAATTCTAAGTGCTAGTTTATGAATGTATTGACATGAAACCCTATGAATCTGAACCATAAAGTCTTTATTTTCCTTATTCTAATCCATACATTAAATAAATGCCAGCTGACCTTCTCCAGCGGGCCATTTTTCGGACAGACATCCTCTGCTTTAGTCTCAGCTGATCAGTCTCAGCTTCTACATCTACACGTTCCTAGAATGGATCACTTTGTATGTAAAATAATATCATATTTGCTTAGAATATGCAGCATGTTACAAAAGGCCAAAAAATGATGATCAGTCAAGAGCTTGACCTCATGTTCCTATACAGCATATAAACCATTATTGCATAGTTTCAGAACACTTACCGAGAGCAGTTTTCCTTGGTTGTCCATTCTGTAGCAATCACCACTAGCTCCTTTCATTTGCTTTTTATATTCCTTAGCCCTTTGATCATATACTGCCCTCTCTTTATCCGTAAGAGCCTATATTCAAAACAAATGCATGATTGAAATTCTGCAAAACTAAACATGCCCAATTTAAGCCTTTTATTGTATACAGTACCCTGATTGGGTTTTACCTTTGTATGAAGCATGGCAGTACCAAAGTGTAACACTCTAAATAAAATTCAACTCATTGAGTCATATGGAAGAAGAAGATTGATTGATTGATTGTATATTGTTTAACGTCCCTCGAGAATTTTTCACTAATAGGGAGACGCCACCACTTGACGGTGGAGAGCTGAACATTTTTTCCCATACTCGGCACTCAAGGCCATTGAGCAGGGAGGGATCTTTTTCATGCCAGCACCTACTTCGAAAAACCTACTAAACCTCGGTTTATACGGTCTCATCTGAAGGACTGGTCAGGTCTCCACGTCCCACGGTGGGATTCGGACCCGCGACATAAGGATCAACTCTTTACTTCGTGACTTTAGAGCAGACTCTCTACCCACTGCGCCACGCTGGCACAAGGAGAGGAAGATAAGATAAATAGGCAATGAATTTTTTTGGGTTTAGACCCCACTTTCAATTTGCTTCCGACGCCTATGTTTAGGCAATGTTAATTTTGAGTAGATTAAAACAACAAAAAACAAAA